CGCAACTAGAGAGTACCCTCTGCTCGCCACAGCTAGAGAAAAGCCCATGCAGGAACAAGGGCCAAGCGCAGCCAATTCTTAATGGCGCACATAAAAAAAAAAATTCTTTAAAAAACCAGTAAAATGTAGTGAAATAATTAGGGAGAGATAAGTGCCAAGTATTGATTACCTTTGTTTTTAATATAACTCATTTAATGATAAGTTCATTCAATTCAATTTTAATGTTTCCCATGTGTGACAAATGGTATGCAAAATTCCTGCCAAGTCAGCCATCATTTTGTGTGGATTCACTGGAGAGCTGATCCAATCACCACTCAGACAAGCCTCAGACAAGCTCGGCTGACAGAAATGAATTGGTTCAAGTGAGAGGTTCCGTAGCAGCTCTTAAGCAGAGGGTCTTGGGCTCCCATGCTTGACAGTGTCTGCGGTAACCTCCCTGCTAGCTGTGAGACCTAGCCCTAAAGCACAAAGGCCAGGCAGTGCTCTGGTTGGTCAGCCCTGGCCACGCCTCCTTCTTGGAACTGGGGGTGGAGTCAGCATCCAGTGGACCAAAGTCTGGAGCGATAAGGTTCCTGGCACATCTAAGAGGCATCAGGAGATGGAGAGTGGATGTCCCGTTGTCCGCAAGAGTGAGGGCCCATCACGCAAAACCACAGAAGCCCTTTGCTAACTGTAAAACCCCATATGAACTTCAGGTTGAGATTTTTCAATCTTGGGATATATTTAAACTTTTTGGCCTTCAAGGTTTTCAAATTTTGGAAGTAATCCATGCTTGTTTTAAACAATAAACACAAAGCTTTGCATAAGGACAGAGTTACTCACCTCCCAGGCTCTAGCTCCAGCCCCTAACCCACTCTCCCTCCTGCTCCCCCATTCCCATAGTTACCAGCCTGCGGCATGCCCACCCAGGCTAAGCAGTCCCAGACACACATACACGTAGGGGTTGTTTTGTTTTTGCAGAAGCAGACCCAGACACACCTGTGATTCTACGGTCTGCTGTTTCTCATAGCGAGATAAATCTCGGGCTTCTCAGCAGTCAGTAGAGCCTGGCATAGGTTAGGGGTTTGCTCTAGCTGGAGTGGCAGGGGCTGGAGATGGGGGCCTTTCATCCATTCCTCCAACCGAGGGCATGGACGTGCAAAGACCTCTTGTGATATCTAAATTTGGTTAGAGTGCAGGAGGCAGTGCAGGGTGCCTGTGGGCTAAACATACCAGCTGGGGTCTGGGGTGGAGGCCAAGCATTCAGAGCAGACAAGACGGTGAAGCCCAGGGGGGCAGAGTGTCGGGGTCCTTGGCAAAGCATCTTCAGGTTTTTCCAAAGAGCCTCGGCCTCTACACTGACACCCATGCCCACAGCCACATGTCCAAGTGACCAAGGTGCAGGTGTATGTTAAGTCTTTTCAGTCGTGTCCAACTCCATGCGACCCTATGAACTGTAGGCCACCAGGCTTCTCTGTCCATGGGATTCTCCAGGCAAGAATACTAGATAGAGTATGTTGCTGTGCCCTTCCTGCAGGGGATCGTCCCCACTTAGGGGTAGAACCTAGGTCTCTTACCTCTCCTGCATTAGCAGGCAGTTTCTTTGCCACTAGCACAACCTGGGAGGCCCCAATGACTAGGGTATAAATTCCAAAAACCGCCTTCAACTGAGTCACAATCACCCTGTGGGTCATGTTAACCCGTTGTTTGATACTGCCTCAGGATGTGGACCCTATCTAGGTACCACTGCACAGAAACTTATTTTCAACTCACTTTTTAAATATATGATTTTATTTATTTATTTTATTTTTGACTGTGCTGCGTCTTCATTGTTGCACAGGCTTCCTCTAGCTGCGGAGAGCAGGGGCTACTCTTCGTTGCAGTGGTCAGGCTTCTCGTTGCAGTGGCTGCTCTTGTTGCAGAACAAGAGCTCTAGGGCACACGGGTTTCAGTAGCTGTGGCTCCCAGGCTCTAGAGCACAGGCTCAACAGTTGTCATGCACAGGCTTAGTTCCTCCACCGCATGTGGGATCTTCCCAAACCAGTGCTCAAACCTGTGTCTCCTGCATTGGAAGGCGGATTCTTTATCACCGAACCACCAGAGAAACCCTCAACTCACTATTAAAAAATCAAATACATTTATTTCTAAATAGAGCTTCACAACACTACAGTAAATAGAAAACCAGTATCGCTTGCCATAAATAATTATGATAGATAGATAAGTATATGAGAGACATAGTGATTACACATAATGTTGCTACTAACAGTTTTGAGCATTTGCTCTGTACCAGTCTCTGTTCTAATCTAAAATGTGAGGTCGATCCTTATACCAGTCCCCATTCTACTGTCACCCCATCGTGTAGATGAGAAAATGAGGCTCAGAGTAGCTCTGCCCTAAATTAGACAGGTCACTGCCAAAACCAAAGTCAGGAACTGTCTTGATCATCCAGGTGCCCGTGGGCGAGGAACCTCAGCTCTGCTGGACTTTGAATTCACTCCCAGCTTTTGATTTGCTCATTCACTCATCTCTTTAACAAGCGTTCACTGAGCACTTACTGTGCGCCAGGGCTGTGGGGTGGAGGGGGCAGCAGGGGCATTCTCTCCCTGCCTTTGACGAGCTCTGTCTGGAGTGGCGAGGGTGCATGTGGTGGGCACTTCAGAGCTGCAGGGCTGGGGACAAGAGAGGGCGCATTCACCAGCCTAGGCTTAGGGGTGGGGGTGGGGAGTGATGCTGGACCAAGTTTCTAACCTTTTCAGGAAGAACAGGAGCTGAGTAGAATAAAGGAAGGGGAGAGGGGAACGTGGCAATTCAGGTGCATTAAAACGGTGAATTCAAGTACTTTTCATGTCCTCGCTGGAGACCCCTATTATGAGCAGATCGAAAGAAGAAGTTAACCTCAGTTTCTTCATCTGTAAAATGGGAATAATGGTACCAGTGTCATAGAGTAAGTAACATCTGTGACGCGGATGGATGTGTCACAGTTTATGAAGCATTCTGGCAGTTCTCGCCACAGAATAAATGCTCAAAATGTCACTAATCATAATGATGATAATTATTCCTGTTTCTGGCAAGTGATCGTGTTTACTATGTACCAAAGCAGTATTGTAAAGTTAGTTTTAAGTCTGTTTGATTTAAAAAAATGAATTTAAAAGTGGCATGCTTCACCTAAAACTATCACAAATTTTTAAATCAACTATAATTTTTAAAAAATGAGAAAAGTGGCCCTCTTACAGTGAATTTAAGCTAATATTCATACTACCATGTTTGTCTTCATTCGCATACATCCTCTAATTTTATAAGCACATATGAGAAAGTTAATCTGTAACTTCCACCTGTCCCTTTTGTCTTCCCCAGGCTTTATTTTGAAAGATGTAGAACTCCAAGGCCATTCTTTCAAACTAATAGCAATACATTTACTTGACAGAGCATTTAATTCCTTACCAAATGACATGAGAAACCTCATAATGAACAGTATTTCTAAGTAGCATAGCTCACAGCCTGAGGCTCCCTAAATCTGACTTAGACAGAGGGACAGCCATCTTTCATGATGAAGTTTTCCATAGAAAAGCCATGGTTTTGCAAGGACACCTATCACAGTAGCCAGTAGAAGCTGAATTTCCCCTCATATCTCCCACCTACAAACATGCTCGGCCACTGTCTGTGAGGAAGGTGGTATTTGAGGGAAAATGAAAAATCTGGACGTCATTATCAGGAGCCCATGGGCAATGGGCTACTCCTGGTCCAAGGGGTTTACACTCATGATCTCACATGTTCACAACCACCCCTTGGGGGAAATGCCATCATTATTCACTTTCTACAAAGCAGAAAGCAAGGCACAGTGAAGTTAAGAAAAACGACCCAGGCCACACAGCTCATAGATAGAGCCAGGATTCGAATCTGGGTAGTGAGATGCCCGAGGCTCTAGGAGAGAATCCAATTATACTGGAGAGAATCCGGGAAAGCACCTGGAGCCTGCCAAAATCCCGTGGCTCATGGCCTCTTTTGCCTTCAAAGACAGGAAAGGCTGACTTATTTTTCTCCCTCTGACACTGACTCTCCTGCCTCCATTTAAAGGATTTTGTGGTGGCATTGCAGGGGGTGGGGATGGGGGGCGCTCCCCGGTGGCTTAGACAGTAAAGAATCTGCCTGACAATGCAGGAGTCCCAGATTTGATCCATGGGTCTGGAAGACCCCCTGGAGAAGGGAACATCAACCCACCCCAGAATTCTTGCCTGGAGAATCCCATGGACAGAGGAGCCTGGAGGGCTACAGTTCACAGGGTCACACAGAGTCAGACGGGACGGAAGCGACTTAGCACGCACATGCACCTGCGCGTGCATAGGGATGATGTTGGCCCACCCAGATAGTCTAGGACAATCGCCCTGTTTTCAAGTCAGCTGATTGGCAACATCACTTCCCTCTGCAACTTTAACTTCCCTGCCACGTAAGGGAGTGTCACCGATTATAAGGATTAGGATGGGAACATCTTTGGTCACAGGGTGAATCCTGGCATTTCTCCACCTTTTGGTGGAAATGCACTCTTTGGAAAGGACAGCCTGGACTGTCAGGTCTGCATCAGAAGGGATTGGGGTGAGGAAAAGGGTGGGGAGGGCTGGGAGGGAGGAAGAGAAGGGAGAGAGAGACAAAGAGGAGAAGAGATGAAGCAGAGCAGGAGGGAAAGCCACAGCATCTCTTCCCACACCGAGGGGACCCTGGCTCCTCTCCGGCCCCTGACGGGGAGTCCCTAACTCGGCCCCTTGGAAGGACCCAGTGGCCCCAGTCTCCACTTCCAGAGCAGGTGGCCGGAATGATGCCGCCCAAGGCCTGGGGAGGCTGAAGGCTCCTTTGCATATGCAAAGAGCCTCCAAGTCCAGAGCAGAGGCCAGGCCAGGATCTGGAAGATGTTGGAAGGCTGGTTCAGGGATCTTCAGCCCCCACACCCCTTCCAGAGTTCACTGTCCCTGGGCTGTTTATCCTCACACTCAGCCTGGCCCTGAGGAGGCTCTTGACCTTGTAGCCAGGCCTGCCCTCAACAGTCACACTATGTCGCTCCCAAGAACTTCACCGAAGGAGAGAAGGAGGAAAGAAGGCAAGAGTAGGGGAAAGAAGGAATGGAAAGGGGAGGAAGGTTGTGGATGCAGGGCCCCACTGCAATTTCAGGACAGCACGGCAATATCACAACAGCCTGAGCAGTGAGTGGGAGGGACGCCGGGCTAAGGGGGCCACCCAAGGTGGGTGGGGCTCACCTGCTCCTGTGCTCAACCCTCCACGGCAGCATCTCCCTGGTCCATGCAACCACCTGGGAGGTAGCGCTCCATGCCCATTTCACAGTTGGGGAAACAGGGTCACATTGGGAGAAAGAAGATGCCACCGCTCATGTGTGCATCTCAGGACAGTGACAGCAGCCGATCAACTGTGTTGACAGGATTAACTATTCATCCTGGTGTTTTCAGGCCACTTGGAAGCAGCAGGTTGTACTCTGGTAGCACCACAGGAAAGGGAATATGCCACATCGAAGTCAGCTAAGGTGAGGGGAGGGGGGAGCTATAGCACCCCCTCTTTATAAAAATGTTCTTAAATTTGCTTTTACTATTTTTTTTTAACAGAAAAAGAGAGACGGAGAGAGTGAGTTAATTTGAAGGGAGAGTTGTTTAAACAGAAGAGAGAACTTTTCTGTTGGGATGTGATGGGATTTCCAAAAGGAACTCACACATGGGCTGTGAACTTCTGTGCAGCAAAAACTGTCACGTGTAAAATGGGTGTGATGCAGGGTGGGAGGGAGGGAGGACCACAGGGATGGGATATATGTATGCTTATGACTGGTTCACTTCGTTGGCCAGCAGACAGTAGCACAATATTATAAACCAACTACGGACGCATGCTCAGTCACTTCAGTTGTGTCTGACTCTTTGTGACCCCATGGATTATAGCCCACCAGGCTCCACCGTCCGAGGGATTCTCCAGACAAGAATAATGGAGAGGGTTGCCGTGCCCTCCTCCAGGGGATTTTTCCTATCCAGGGATTGAGCATTTGTCTCTTAAGTCTCCTGCATTGGCAGGCAAGTTCTTTACTACTAGTGCCACCTGGGAAGTCCCATAAAGGAACTATACGCCACTGGAAATAAATGAATAAAAAAAAATGTTGAAAGAGATGAAAAAATTTAATGAGAGGTTTGCCTGAAATCACCCCTGCCCTCAAGACCAATAGGACCAAGACAACCCAGGGCTGCAATTCAAATGCCCCTTGGGGTGGGCAGGTGCAAAACGGGCAGGTAAGGAGAGTCAAGAACTGCCTTTTCACGTAATATTCCTCTTACATACTGGGCGCTGATTTGCAATTTTCAGAAACATTCCCATTTGCTGGAGAAGACCATCTGCGGTTCGATTTCCCTGTTCATCGCCCCTCTCAGCTGCTCTGGGTTCCCTCTTGGTTCTCCTCAGAACACTGTGTCTCTCTGAGGCTTTCTGGGGCCCAAAATAGCTAGAAGTAGGCTATTTTTATGGGACTCTGATAGCACAGGTCAGAGGAGCTGGGGGGCCAGGCCGGTGCTGGGCTTGGAGTCTTTTACCAGCTTTTATCACCCAGCTCTGAGCTATTGGACTCAGAGTGCCTGGAGGCATTGGAGAAGCCCAGGAAAGTTCCCACTGCTGATGTCTGGGGAGAGGCAGGCAGCCTGGGGTAATTATAAATAAGACATCCTTGCAGGTGGAGCCTAGCCAGCAGGCTTCGGGAAGCTGGTTCCTGCTCCTTGAACACTTCCATCTCTTCCTGTGCCAGAGCCTCGGGTGCCCATTTCCCTAACATTTGCATGGCGGTTGCCTGGGTCTCCAGTCAAAATGCAGGCAAATCCAAGCTCTGTGCCCCAAACTTATCTCTTGATGAACACTGTTCCCAAGAGAGCCCAGACCAGAGACGCCCAGGGACAGAGGGAGCAGGTGTTCTTCCATCCCTCAAATATGTAATAAGCACCTACTCTGTGCAGGCAGCGTGTTAGTGGCTGGGTACCAGAGTGAGCAGCCAGCCCGCACCTGTGGGGCTTCCAGTCAATGGGCAGACAGCTGGACAAATCCATCAGATGCCTAAGATGATAGCTGGGGTGTGTGTGCCGGCAGGGTGCATAAGTGCTTAGTTGCTCAGTTGTGTCCGACTCTTTGCAACCCTGTGGACTGTAACCCACCAGGCTCCTCAGTCCATGGAATTTTCCAGGCAAGTATACTGGAGCAGGATGCCATTTCCAACTCCAGAGGATCTTCTCTAACTGGGGATGAGTAATACTTAAAACAGGGTTGTGCAAGAATGCTCTTAGCAATTTTATTTATAAAAGCCCCGAACTAGGAATAATTCAAATGCCCATCCATGGGGTGGAGCAAAAAAGGGCCGTGTATATAGCTGTAGAATATTCCTGATCACTGAGGACAGATGAGACGCCAGCCACAGGGATGCATCTCGACATGAGAAGGAAGCCAGGCTATGAGAACACACTGTGCGCTTCCATGCACAGATCATTCAAAGGCAAGAACTGTCTATGTGTGGAGCTGAAAATAAGGGCAGTGGTAACGCCAGGGTGGAACAGGGCGCCCAGAGAGACAGAAGGAGAAATTTGGGGGTCAGGTTCTCTTTCTGGATCTGGGTTCCAGATACCCATGTGTGCTCCCTTTGTGAAGATTTGTGCATCTGGTCAGTTCAGATCTGTGCCCTTTTCTGTTTGTATATTTTACGTCCTGATAAAAGTTTACATAAATAATACAGGAGGGGAGGGGAGACGTGGGGCCGTCCAGGAAGTAGGGCTGCAGAGAAAACACAGCGCATCCAGTTAAATTTGAATTTCAGTTAAACAAGGGATCACTTTTTTTTTTTTTTTAAGCACAAGTATGTCCTAAATATGGCTGGACCTGCCTGGCATGCTACTGGGAACCACAGTCCCAGGACCTGGCCTCTCTCCACCATCTCTCATGGTCTCCAGGTGGTCTCCATGGTCTCCAGCTGATCTGCTCCCCAGATGGGATGCCTTGGGGTGCTGACAGACCATGAACCCAAGGCTCTGGGCACCCCCCAAGGCAGCTCAGCCCTGCACAAAATTTGGAGTCAGGAAGTTGAAGGCACCAGCAAGTCCCCCTCAAGGTCTTCCCTCTTTCCAAATGAAAATACTAAGTGGAACACCGGAGCTGGATCCTCTGGATTCTAAAGGGTAATGGCCACGATATAGTTCCTGAGTGCTCAGCAAATGTTATGAGCCTCTGGTTTAACCCAGTGGTAGCACTGATTGAATCCTGACTCTGTGTCTGCACAGGTGTGTGCAATCCCACTTTAATCGGAGAGGAGATGCTTTGTAGAAAGTTGGTTGATTGCATGAATCAATTGAATGAATCATTCATTTGATTGAATGAATGAGCTCTCCCACTGCTATCACAGCCCCCACCTACCACCTGTGTGGTGACTTTGGAACCCTTCCCCCCTTAAGCCTCAGTTTCCTTCTCTGCAAAACAGAGATGATGACAGTCACTGGCTCACTTGGAAGGGTTTCTCAGCCTCAGCATCACAACCATTCGGCCTGGACCATTCTGTGCAGGGTTATGTCCTGCACCATCAGCAGCTCAGCGGCATCAGGGTCTTTACTCACAAGATGCATGTAGCAGCTGCTCTTGGCTGTGAGGACTGAAACATCTCCAGATGTCGCCAAGTGTCCTCGGGGAGACAGGATCACCGTCTGAGAACCCCTGTGTTGTTCTGAAGATTAATGAGATTATGTCTGCAGAGGACCTAGCAGAAACCCCAGCACGGGAGGATTACTCTCAAGTTGAGGAGCCTGAAAGTGCCAGGATGGACTTGAACTCAATGTGTCTGACCGCAAGGCCTGATTGTGCCCACGGACGCCCCAGGGATCTTGCTGGGTGCTGATCTGATGGGACAGGTCTAGCGTGGGCCCAAGATGCAGCCCTTGCATGAAGTGCATGAACCCTTGCACTAGACACTGCCTGTGGCCTTGAGGCGCTTATCGTCCAGTGTTAGTCACTCAGACCCCACACACTATAGTCTGCCAGGCCCCTCTGACCATGGAATTCTCTAAGCAAGAATATTGAAGTGGGTTGCCATTCCTCTCTCCAGGGGATCTTCCCAACCCAGGGATCAAACCGAGGTCTCCTGCACTGCAGGCAGACTCTTTATCATCTGCGTCACCAGGGAATCCTGGTCCAGAGGGGGACAAAAAAGGACACACACCATAGGACCTGCCATATGACAGGAAGGTGGAAGGTTTACATAATAAAAATTGGGTGGCAGTGGGGAAGCAGGACATACGTGAAGCCTTCAGTTTGCAAAATTCAGATCAGTAAGGTATAGCCACTATAGGCCGCTGTCTGTCCGTGTAAATAATGGTCATTGGCATCGGGGCTGGGTTTAGGGCAAGGCAAGTGAGTCAGGATGGTGCCAGCACAGGGCTGCCGCCTGTCTGTGCAAAACTTTTTCTGTATCTTGTACCTCATGGCTTTTTTTTTGTGGCAATTGATTTTTTAAAATTATTTATTGATTGATTTTGTTGAGTCTTCATTGCTATCTGCAGGCTTTCTCTAGTTGCAGCAAGCAGGGGCTTCTTTCTAGTTGTGGTGCAAGGGCTTCTCATTGTGGTGGCTTCTCTTGGTGCAGAGCACAGGCTCTAGGCACCCAGGCTTCACTAGCTGCAACACACGGGCTTAGTTGCTCTGTGGCATGTGGGACCTTTCTGGACCAGGGATCAAACCTGTGTCTCCTGCACTGGAAGGCAGATTCTTAACTACTGGATCACCAGGGAAGCCCTCAGCATTGATTTTGATTTTTTTACATTTTACTTTGTAATTATCTCGATGATAGCATTTTCTGTGTACAGGGCCATGCCTCACTCGCCTCATCCTAGCCTCAGCCCTGCTGGAAGGGTTGAGAAGGGCTCTGCGCCTCCAGAGGGGACCAGCAGGGGCTCAGATGTGACACCGCCCTGTGTCTGCAACCCTGCTCTGACCCCGGCTGGCTGTGTGGCCTGGGAAGAAGCCTGAGCAGCAGCCTGAGCTCTGTGCCCTCCACTTCCCTCCTGTGAAATGGGGCCAGCAGTGCCCAACTCTCCTACCTGGCAGGGATATAGAAAGAATTAAATGAGATAAATATAGGCAGAAGCTTTTTGGAGGCCTGACGTATACTCACTGTGAGCTAGAACACAAAGTC